ATTTGTGGAAATGAAATTGAGCCTTATCGATGGTGCGAACACTTGAAGGGTCAATCGATGTGATCTCATTCAATCTTCGGGCTGCGCAAACATGGAAGCCGGCTACTACTTCGTGTATAATCCGCGTCCTCACCCACATTGCCTCCTCAAATAAATACCCTACTTACCCTGAAGCAATACATGAACTACTTTTGCCAACTACAACAAAGCCACAACATCTCAAACCATCGCGAACCCCACCCAAGCCGAATACAACAATGTCCACCAACCGCTGCGAACAAATCCTCGTAGAGGTCGACAACGACGTCACCATGGCGGTCTACCGTATCTTTAGCGAAGCCGAGACCAACGAAAACATCACAGCCAAGAACTGGGAGGACTTCGCTGCTGGGCTCAATGACGGAGACAAGAGGAGGGTGGATGAGGTGGTCTGTAACTTGACGCATGCATGGGTGCAGTGCGCTCCGTGTGCGAATCTGGTGGCGCTGGTGAGGTGGAGGAGAGACGCGAGGGGTCTTGTTCCGCAGGTTTGAAGCGGAAAATGAGGCTAGAGCGTATGTGGAGCTAGGGTGGGAGAGATTAGCTGTATAAATATCCGTCGTGCTGCTGTCTTCCAAGGTTCTCTTATCAATACACTTCTTGCCAGAATTCCACCAAATTACGAGCGATTAAGACCCATGAGTTCCCTTCTTCTTTCTGGTTGCATTATATTCAAAAGCACTCGTCGACTGAACGATGACTTGGCCTGAGAGGATTCGTTGGACGCTACATGAGATCCCAAAACTTTAAAAACTTGGCGTATGCAGCAGTTCATGTTTTGACTACTCCAAAATCTCTGGTTGACGCAGTTGTACACGGTTAGGGACGTATGCCATGCGTTATCAAAAGTCTCAAGCTATGGAGAATCAACATATTTCGCCGTGTACTTCTATGAACAGCTTCGCCGAAATTAAACCAATGTGATTCCATAATCTTCAATCAGTGTGGGTCAGGGTCTCACATTTCGGCGCTCTACAGTCTTTCTGGGGCTGTGAAGAGTCTCCTACCTCACTTCCTTCTCATCATCTATGCACTTTATGGTTATTAGTGCAGATCCAAAACTGGTGGATCTAGCGTCCATGTTTCCTGAGTTTAGTAAATTAAGATGCCACTGCACTTGTGTAATGTCTAACCTGAGTTCCGATTTCGAAGTAGCGGATACATCGCTCACGTGATGGATTGGGGGGTATCTTTGCGAAGTCTGCGTGCGACATCAGAAAGTGCTGCAGCCTTTTCAAGACCGGTTCTCAGCACCACATGGTTTCGTCTTTGAGAGAGCCAGTAAACAAATCTTTGGACCTCTGTGAAAGGTATATAATTCTCTCATATTTTCCTCCTCTCTCTCTCTATAAACTTCACAATTTCGACTATCAAAATAGCGCCAGCAAGCACTCCATGACTGCGGCCCTCTGCTGGTTTCCCGAAGTACTCCGTCATCTACCCATGCTTTCGAGCAGCCGGATTGTTGCACGACTCACCTCCAGCGCTTTACGTTTTGTCGACGTCTTTCCCGCTGAAGCACAAATACGACGGCTTGATCTTGTGAGTAATGTTTTGGGATGCCAGATAACGTGGAACTTGGCGCATAGGACATTGAAAAGGCTAGGGGCGGATCGTGTGAAACGCACATCATTTAATATCGAAAAACCTGACGTTCTGAAACAGCCCATGAACTCAGCGTGATAGACTCTTCATCATGGCGTCTCCATCTGGTGATGACCTTATACAAATGAGAATCTTAACAGGTGCGCTGCAGTCTACATCAGCGTCACAATCTACAAAAGCAATCTCCCAAGCTCATGTCGACTTCCAAGGCTGGCAGATTGAAGTAGACTATTAGTCTTCTGATTGAAAGTGATGTAATGGCGGCCCCTGCATTATCGCTCATCCCGTAGGTTCGCAAACCACCAAGAACGGGTGCACCGCCGCTGTCTGAAGTTAGCGCACACTTCTCATTGCACATCACCAACGTAGTCAGAACTTACCACTGACAAACAACCGCCCAGTCTTGACATCATGTCTAACCGTCGTACTCCCACTCAGCACCTTCGCATCCTTATCCTCGATGACCTTCTCAACCCTATAATCCACACTTCTTACTCCAGTCTTTCCTACATCTACCGTCTTCCTGATACGCCAGATAGTGACAGGTGAAATGCCATTATAAGGATCGTCAAAGCCTTTACTGGATTGGTATAGGTTCGGGAAACCTGCGACGTACATATCGCCGTTCGCATCGGGTGAGATATTATCGAGCGGCATGCCAACGTGGATGGTATCGACCAAGCTGAGGGTCTTGTCGGGCTGGAGTGCTAGGACGCGGATTTGACCGTCGATGGTGCTGGGAACGTAGAAGAGGCCGTCTCGGCCGAGGGCCAGTCCGTTGGGGAACTTGAGCTTTGTTTCGGGAAGGTAGCTGAGCGCCTTGTTGAGGTAGGTCTCATACTTTGGCCCACTGGATGTGTCTGATCGCATAAACTGGCGCTCCTCGCTGCCGTCGTAAGCTGCATGACACTTCCCAGCTCCGTCGCAGTAGGCGACGTTTCCTCCACCGATGAAGTAGTCGAGTCCAAGACGCTGGTATACGTTAGTTGTTTTGTCTGTAGTTTAGATAGAATGTCACTTACCATGCCAACCTTGACCGAGTGGTCATTCGTAACCAGAAATCCACCAGAGCCATCCCCAAGCGCTGCCACACGATTCGGTGTCCAAATCTCATCAGAAAAGACGGTCCGAACATGTCGCATTTGTTCCTGTCCCTTTCTCATCTCGAAGATCTCGACCGTCGAGTTTGCGCCGCTTTCAGAAGCATCAACAATCTTGTTGGACGCATCGACTGGTGGTCGTTGGTTGACAAAGTAGAAGCGCATAGTGTTATCGTCCAAGACCTGGACATCAAAGCCCAGAAGATCGAGATCAGAGCTTCCATCCGCTCCTTTGTAATGGCCTATCGGCTTGATGCTGCGAAGATTGTAGAAACCGTCTTCACCGGGCTCGTCGATATCCAAGGCGAGGAGTTCTGATCCGCCGGGCCGCCGTCCAGTTACGTTGAGGTCATTCATGCTGTACAAGTCAGTACTTCAGGCCGCAAAACCACGATCGCTTGCCGTAGCATAGCTGTGAGTTAACGTACGCTTGGTTCCAAGCCAATCTAGCCGCCGTACCTGCGCAAGCCGCGTACAGCGTTCTTCCCTCATTGTCCAGCCAGATGTCCTCGCACGCTTCCAACCTTGGATGTATCAGACGGCGACAGCTAAACTCTGGGAACTCATCGATACTCTGTATCACGCGCCCAACACCAAAGGTAATTGCAAAAAGGTCTTTCAGGTAGATTTGGTAGAGCGACGCGCCCCACGCTACGACGAGGGCCCAGTACACGGTTTTCGCTATGCCAGGCATTGCGGAAGCTCAAACGCGATGAAATGAGAACAAAAGATAGATGGAAAATGCAGGAAAGGCTGAGCTTATATCTCACGTTGATACCTAGAGGTACGGCTGAGCAAGGCTTGCAGGGGTTGTAACAGGTAAGGCGCCCTCGTGCAGCCCCAGTAAAAATCGTCCTTCGATCCGCGCTCAGAGCACGTGGGCTTCTGGAGAGCCTCCCAGGTATGCCTCACCACCGAGCCTAAGTTCATGTTTCGCCGAGAGCATATCGCTGGTATGAGTTGAGGATAGCAGCGTTGGGGACAGCCGTTCGGCCTCATCCCCGGGAAGGCTGACGTCACAGGGTCTCTCCAACCCAATTCGGTGGCATCCTCGGCTTACTCACCCCACGCCCTCTCCATACCCAGCGGGAAGATTCCACCTCGCAAGAATCAACTTCAAATCTCAAACCCTTCAAAATGACAAAATCCGCCTCCTTCGATGTGATAGGCACATGTTTCGCCTTCTCCGCCCCCATCGCCACCATCCAATCGCGTCTCGGCCCCAAGCTCACCACCGCGGCCGTAGACCCCAAGACGCTCTTCTTCAGCTGGTTCTACGCCGCGCAACGCGACTTCACATATGTATCCATGAGCGGCTCCTACGTGCCCATCGCACAAGTCCTCAAGTCGACTTTCCGCCGCGCATGTGCCGTGGTCGACCTACCCCTCGACGCCATCACCGACGAGGACGTCGACGAAGTGATGAAAGCGTTTAAAGCCATGGGGCCGCGTGATGGGCTGAAGAAGTGTTTTGATGGGCTGAGAGAGGCGGGGTGGGATGTTTATGGTGTTACGAATGGGGGGTCGGAGACGAGTTTGGCGTATTATCATAATGCGGGGATTGAGTTGGATGCAGAGCATTTGCTTAGTTGTGATGCTATCAAGATTGCGAAACCGGATGTGAGGGTGTATGAGAACGCGGATAGGCATTTGACGGAGAGAGGCTTGGCTAAGGGAGACGGAGAGAGGTGGTTTGTTGCGGCGCACGCGTGGGATCTGATTGCTGCGAGGAAGGCTGGGTTCAAGACTGCGTATCTGGACTTTGAAGAACACGATCCGTGTACGGATGTCTTCGGCGAGTTCGATTTGTATGCGTCTAGTATGGAGGATCTCTTGATCAAATTGAAGGAGAGCAAGTGAGGTTGGCGTAAAGTCAATCACCTAGACGTCTACGTTGCCCTCAAATGTTCCGAATGGTGATACTTGATGCTGGTGTAGGCTACAGAGTCCACTGACAACAATGTAAACAAAACGACCCAGAAGCCTACATCGCCTTAGCATCTCGTCCATTTTAAGGTTTAATATCAGTGTAGGCTGCAGAGCATGAGATGAGTTAAAGTGTATCAAGAATATTGGGCCGAAGCCTGGAGGCTACGTAAGACTGGAAACTCTCAAGAAGTCACTAATCCCGCAGATGTATCCGTCCGGATACCATGAGATCTCGTGCAGCGTACCGCCTTTTCGCCCATTCCTAGAGCATCCCGCGCACCAAAACCAGCCATTTTCTCCACCGAATACATGGAAGACCCACGTGATCTATCTAAAAAGACTCCTAAGCTCCTCCAGTCTCTGCTTCGTAGCCTCCTCCTTGCCCTTGCGCTCCTTTGCCATCGTCATATTAGCTAGAGCCTTTTTCTTATCCTGGAGTACTAGCATCTTCTCTTCAAAGCTGTTCTGCATGATAAAGCGCTTAATAGTAACCTCCCTATCTTGACCAAGCCGATGAACACGATCAACAGCTTGCGCCTCAGCTGCCGGATTGAACTGCGGCTCCATCATGAACACTTTGTTGGCTGTTGTAAGATTGAGACCGAGACCTCCTGCGCCAATAGATACAAGCATAACGCGGACTGCAGGGTTCTCGCGGAGTGCCTGCATAGACTTGTCGCGGTTTTCGCGCGACATGCGGCCATCGAGGCGGACGAGCGAGTGGCCGGCGTTCTTGAGAGCAATTTCGATGAGGTCGAGGTGTGTGGTCCATGAGGAAAATACAATGCTGTGAAAGTCAGTAAAGCACGTCTCGGTGTGGCAATGTAGGCATCAACTCACCTTTTGATCGGCCTCTCATCCGGATTCTGCTCGCTCCATACACGGAACTCTTGCAGGTCGTTGAGTAGAGCTTGGGTCTTCGTATGCGGGCCAGTGTAGCTTCCGATCTTCTTCGCCAGTTTTGGATCTTTTCGGATCTGATTCTGCTCCTCGATGTAGTTGTAGTAGTCCGTGCGTTCGAGCTTGAGGACCGTGGGCCGGTTGACGTCGTCACATACGTGGCAACGAACTGAACCATCCGCCATGAGGTTGTTCTTCCACTGATCCTTCAGCTTCTTGATGTGACGTGGGCAGACGAGGTGGTAGCATGTGGTCATGTAGCCAATATCTTCCTGGACGTTGCCATCTTCATCTTCGTCGTCATCGGAATCATCCTCTAATAAAGACTTCTTATCTGGGCAGTACAGGCAGTCCGCTGCACTCGTCGAATCGAGGAGAGTGAGCATCTCGTAGGCTTGTTGACGTGTCTAAATATCGATGAACTAAGTCAGTGAATGTCTCACAACAGTTTGTATGCGGATAGTACTTACGAGCTGTGGCCTATCGCTGTCCTCCTCATCTATCTCCATGGGCTTCTCATAGGTCATGCCGTCGGTAGTCTTGAGCGCTTCTTCACTGAGCAGATCACGACCATGAGCGCAGATCAACCGAAGATTGAGGATGGCGGTCAAAATCTTGGCGTATGATCGTCCACCCATCTTATCGCCCTGGGTGACAGCATTCACCTTGCGTTGAGTATCCCTCTCGAACCAGTCATGTAACTGCTGCTCTTCCTTAGAGAACTGCAATCTGACAACGTAGTCAAGCTTCTTGGGGACCTCGTCCTTGATGATCTCCTTGGTACGACGAATGGTAACGGTGCTGACAAGCAGCTGAAGCTTCGTTACAACGTTGGGGTCGGCGTTCTTGAAAGGACCGAGGATGAACTGGTTGAAGCCGCTAGGAGTATCGAAAGGCTTCAACTTGATGAAGTTGAAGAGAGCACCCAGATCTTCAAGTCGATTCTGAACAGGCGTACCGGTTACAGCCCAACGACGTTGACCCATCATCGTACATGCTGCCTTGGACTGGTTGGTCGGGTTGCGAATTGTATGTGCTTCATCCAGAACAATGCGGAACCAGTTGATGTAGGGCAACGCTCGTTTCTTGTCTGTGAGGTCTTTCGCGATGATGTGGTACGTTGTTAAGATTATGTCGTGATCTGCAAGGACCTCAGGTGTTATGCTGAACCGCTCTGAGCCGTGGTACCGCTTCCACTTCAGGGTGCTTGTGCCCTGTGGAAAGTGGTCCTTGATCTGCTCCTTCCAGTTCGTCATGGTGCTGAGAGGACAAACAAGAAGTGTTGCGCGACTGTTGATGGTGGGCTGGATCATGCCTGGGTAGGGCCTCGGAGGTGGCCGCTTCTGGCAGAAGTCTTTGGCGGATACAATCGAGGCATCGTCGCAGATGAGTGATAGAATGCTGAGCGTCTTCCCCAATCCCATCTCGTCAGCCAGGATACCACCAAGACTAGGTCTAGGCTGATCTTCCGTCTGTTCGCCCGTGATGATATGCATGTAGTACTTGCGTCCGTTATCCCGATACTTCGGGGCCCATAAGGAGTCCTTGCGTTTATCGTAGACGTCTGGCGGATGTTCTTGTTCGTGATCAACCATGAAATAAAGCGCCTGCTTCTGATGAGGGTACAGCTCGGTCTTGATGAGCGTTGAAGGCTCTCTAATCGGAACTTCTTCCGAGCCACTGACAACCGTATCGAAGACGTCTTCGACATCAGCGCGGATCTCGTCGACACTGCGAAGGACATAGGTGTTTGTGGCAGCGCCAACGGCGTACTGTGTGGACGGCTGGAAATCGGGTTGTCCTACTTGATTTTTCTGGAACCCCTCCTTCGACTGTGGGTTGTAGTAATCATGGCGCGCGAGTTCGAAGACGGGGTTCTCAAGGATGAGATTCTTGCTCCTGAGATACCTTCCAAGGTGATCCGCAGATTTACGTGGACAGTACAGCTGTAAGGTCATACCAACAAGTGCAGAGATTTGACTGCCAGGCGGTCCTTCGTTGGGAAGCTTTCGGCGTGGTTCAGTCCAGGCCAGCCACTTTAGACCGTTAGTCTGCGCGCTATCGATCAGTGGTGTGAGACCTTGTGCGGTCTTCATGTCAACCCTGCCGAACTCTTTACCCATACCGTCAAGCACCTGGATTGGTTAATTTATGTTACACATGTATCTTGAACTGCAATCTTACCATGATGATCTGGTTTCCCTTGTGGCCGCCACCCCTGCGGAAGGATACCTTGATTCTGCTTTGGCCACCATGATTGCCATGGAACTTCTTAGGGTCGGGAAAAGGGACCACGTGAGCCTGGATGTAGGTCTGCTTGAGCTTGCCAATGCAGATGTCATCGTTGCTGTTGTCGTGAACGACCTGGATCTCGTCTTCGTCGTCGCTCATGGTCAAGTCGATTGCGGGTCCCTGTTGCGGCGGTGGGGGAGGTGATTGTCCGGCTTGAAGCTCAAGTGCACTCCCACCAGCGAAGTTGGGCCGATTGCCGTTCTTCCGTTCAGTCTTTATGCGCTTGGCAGGTGATGACGTACGCTCTTGAACGTTGTGTAGGCGTTCGACGAGCGAGACTTGGCCAGCAATAGTGGGGTCAGTACGGCCGCGGTCAGTGTCGTTACCGGATGACGCAGGGCGCTTAGGAGTCGACGAGTTCGGATTGAGAAGCGCGCGTGGATCGAATTGCGGAGTGTGTGCTGCAGGCGTTCCGTTGTTGTTGTTGTATGTCTGGTTGTGGTGGGCCATGTGGTCGCCTGGCACGTGCGTGGTTAGTTCTGGGTGTGGTTCTGCCTCTACGTCGGCGCTTGGGTGACTTGTGAACGCAGGTGCATCCGGTAGCGAATCAACGGGTGAGGAGGTGACATTGGGGTCGTAGGCGGCAGGATCAGACTCAGGCTCAGGCTCATGCTCGTGGACAGTAGGCTCGTACACGGCCAGCTCCGACCTCGCAGAGGAGTCAGACGCTGGACTGCCTTCCATAGTCTCCATGCTGGGCGTGGTGGTCAAAGGGAAGGAACGATGACGAAGATGCGTGAAAGTCCTCAACACCAGGACTAATATCAAAGACGGGTGGGCAATTTTGGGTAAAGAGGTGGAAGAAGGTGAGGAGAAAGAGAGAGATTGAAGATATACCTGTTCTACGTACCCTCCTCGGGTCAAGTAATAGGGCGGGATTAAACTTGTCCATGATGGGCTCGCAATCAAAGTCACAAGGACTCTACAGGTGAGAGAGCTTCAGGTAATTCTGGCAGGTCCCCTCAGCGCTTCCAAGCTCTTCCAGCCCTTCCAACGACGTTGATGCCGAAGCGCATCTGATGGTCCGGATGCCAAGCCCTGATCCTTTCGCTCGCCACAAATCACGCGTTTTCAGGGTGTCTCGATGCGCTCAGAGAGCCCCCAGAAATGCTGCGAATCCTCCGAAGTCTGGTTGCGGTCGATGCAGGGCGCGAAGTTCCGAGGCTCGAAATGTTGAGATGATGGCGTGTAGTCGCTTAGTATACCCGGTCGTCGGGTAAGTGAAGGTAGACGTATGGTTTCGCGTCCCAGCGGCGGCAGGTTTGCCAGGCAACAATACGGTCGGATACAGGTTCAGATTAACAAAGAGTCATTCATTTGTACCGTGGTGCGTGGGTGAAATGGCGCTGTTGCCTTTCCTGTTGATCGTGGGAAGTCATCGCGTGTGGCTGAGAAGGGCTAGCAGGAGTGTCAGATGACCCTCTCGATAATTCACGGGACATCGGCAAAGGGTCGCTGCCCGCGATTGTCGGGGGGAACCGATAAAGATTGCACAAGAGAAGCAAGCAAGAGTCTCATCAGCTCGCGGACGACGCGCATGTATCACTCAGGTTATTAAAGGGTGTGGGGGTTGCGCAGCGTACGCGAAGGTGTGGGTGCACCAGCAGGATAGCGGAGCTGTCCCGCTACTACACACATGTTGCTATCCGTAGATTCTGTACGACAAAACGCCTTCCATGCTGCCCAACCAAATGCCTATGTTATAGTCACAGCAACCTTGCGCCCGTGATGCAAGACGGCTCTCTCACGCACAATGCCATAATGTAAAATAAAAAAAGCCTCAAACTCGGCGATCATCTGCTCAACACCAGGTAAACACCGGGTTCCGCCCCTTGACCATCTCCAAACGTTCTACGATGACCTTTTTCCTGTTACCCTCCATATCTTCGTTTGCAGCGTATCCTAGATCGCCGTCGTCGTCAAAGCCATAATCATCAAGGTCCCTCCTATGGGTCAAGGAGTGGCGCCTATGGTGTCGTGAGTCGCGCGTGTTTCGGCGAGGCGCATCGTAACTCATGCGCGACTGATGCGGAGGCCGGCCATTTGAGTGACTGTTCAAATTACGCGAACCCCAATACACATCGCTTACAGTCGCTGGTGATTCTGGGCCTTGGTCAGGACGTCTTACGTCGAGAGAGGATGAGCCGCGCGTGAGGTTGAAGCGATTCTCGTGTGCAGACTCGAGGGGCGGGGAGTTCATGAGGAGGTCTTTCTGAGGCTTCTGGGGCGGCGTTGAGACAGCTGTAATGTCCATCTCTTCATGCTCTTCCTCCACCCTTGGCTGTCTGCCTGGTGGTTGCTTCCTCCGCATCTCCGCGGACGGAGCCCTCAGCGGCACAGCGATGGGTATCTCGACTATATCATCCCAGACACATACACGTGCCCTTCTCGTGAGCTCAAGCGGCCCAAGATCCGGTGTCTTCAGTGTTTCCACTACATTCCATGCCTGTCCCTTCATGACCGCAATCTGTTTCGCATACATGCGCTCCTTGAAATCGGCATCTTGTGAAAAGCACTTTCGGAGTGCCGATTGCGTGTCGCTCCACCATTGTTTCGAGGTGAGGAGAGGAAGGAAGTGGCGGCGGGTGGCTTCGGAGAAGGGCTGGCCGATGAGCGAGACGGGTAGGAAGAGCCAGCCAAAGGGATAGCTGCGCCACTGTAATCATGTTAGCATAGCGTTGGGGAGTTTGAGCAGGTACTCACAGCATCAGGGTGCTTCCAGGGCCACGACAAACTGTTGTCAATGGCACCGATGGTCACTGTGGGTGTCGGCCCGCTCTGCATGGGTGTGTTCGACCGGCTAGTCGTGGTCATGGGTTCCCTTCGCCCGTAAGGGTCAGATTCCTCCATCGATTGCCTTGTGTAGGAGCTCGGTTGATGATCGTCGTCATCGTCGCGTTCCATCTTCGGTGGTTCTGCGACAATGGAGGCCTGCTGCGTCTTCTGATCAATCTTGATCATCCAGTTGTCCAGGCCTCTGTCGGTGTTCCGCATGATGTAGTCGAGGATGACCAGTTTCTCCAGTTGCTCCCTGAACGACTGTTGAATTGCGGGCGTCCAGAAGCCTCTCCGTTGATGCTGCGCGTCCCCAGTACCGGATTGTTCGTCCTCATCCTCGCCGTCTGACTGCGAGCCATTCGGCCTGCAGTCCTCAGCCCATCTCCGCTTCTTCTTCCGTGCCGCCCTGTCCGCATTGTGGGCTGTGTTATGCTGATCTGGCCACGGGTTCTCCTTGAGGAAGATGTTCGCGTCCTTGAAGCCCTTCAGGAACACCTGGAAACTCCCAAGCTTCTCAGGAAAGGGCTTCCTTTTCCTGTAGTATGCGCGCCGATCCCAAAAGTCGTAATGGAAAGATTTTGAGGACAGACCGACGACGTCAGTGTAGGGGACGAGGTTGGTGCGCAGCTGGGTATCGAGGACGTATGCGGCGGCTTCGGAGATGTAGGAGAGGTTGGGGATGAGGCAGGCGCGACCGAAGAAGAATGGAAATAGGTTGCGATGTATCCACTTGGTCCATTTGGGATTGCGCGACGCGTAGGGTTCTTCGTCTTTAGGCTTGAACACGCCCACCACCTTGCCCTGTGTGGTGCGCGCGAAGTAGCTGCCCGAACTACCCTGTGTAATCAACAGGGGATGCACATCCATCTCGATGGCCGTCCTAACGCTTTCCACGATATCGTCGAATTCGAGCTTCGTCAAGCGATCGGAGGGCACGTCGTAGTCGAATGTGAGCGACTCCGCCGTTGCCGGTCGCACCCAGTCTGGCGCCTGGAAGACTGAGTGATGGATCTCGAGCGTCTCATCGTCTGCCGAGTCTTTCTGCTTCTTGATCTTGAACTTTTGCGCAATCTCGTCGGCCCATCGCTCAAATCGCGCATTGATGGCCTTTATGTCCACGCCGGAATTGGCACGTTGCCGTCGCCCCGACGGGCCCTTTTTGTGGTTTGGTGAACTCGTGCCTGAGCCATTCATACGCATATTCGAGTTCCGCTGCGGTTGTATTGGTGCATATTGCGCGTCAGACAGGGGATTCTGGTGGTGGTCGCCCTCGAAGTCGCTGCCGGAGTCGTCTTCTTCTTCCTCGGCTTGGGCTATTCGGGCATAACCCGAAGTCGGCGGTCGTTTTGATTTTGGCATTGTGGGTTTAAAAGAGCGAAGGAATTAAGGTCGGTCGGAGTTTGCTGTGCGTGACTTGGTGCCTGCGATTATGGTGAAATGACGACCGCGGACACAGCTGCTGCAGGGGTCTGAGGCGCTAGTGTTCCGCTGTGGATCATCACATGCAAGACGCCCACACCGTGCATCTGATTCTAGATCGACCGAATATCTATATGCTGTGGGGTATCGAAGTCTATCTGCAGTACGCTCAAAGAACTACTCAAGTATTCGCGGCATCGATCCATCATCTAAAAGCTATCGTCAAGATCCACTTGCCGTCTTACCACGCTCGGACTGTCCTCGTCCATACCACCTGTTGAGTCTGTGATATCGCCGCCAGCTGTCATGAGCAGGTCATCCACAATGCGCTTGCTAGCTTCTCGGGCTGTTCCGTATGTTAGCAATTGCTTGATATGTGAGGAGGGGAAATCTTACCAGGCGTCTGCATCAGCTTGCTCTGTGGAATATGGAATTGTATGGTCTTCGGAGGACTGAAGTCAACATCGTCGTCCTCTTCGTCGCTGTCATCGAAGATTGTGCCGCCAGTCCGGTGGATGCTCATGGGTTGTTTGCCTTTGGCAGGCGTCTGTATACTTATACCAGGTGTCCGCGGCGTCTTCATGGGCGAAAAGATGTCGGCGCGTAGTTGTGGGGCTGGTGAAGAGGGAGGTGAAGAGTCGAAGTCTAGCAGCTTGGTAGCTGCGCTTCGTGGTGTAGGTGCTCCGCGCTGGCCGCCGGTGCGAGGAGTGAAAGCACCCGTCGGTTTGTACTTTCTCGGGCTGATAAGTGGTGTAGCTTGTACGCGGTACGTCTTGTCGAGAACGCGATGGAGTAGCGGGTCGTTGTTGACGTAGGACTGTTTCGTGGCTGTAGGCTGCATGAACGGCGAGGACTCGAAGCCGCTCATATCTGGGAGGGCTTGCGACTTGCCAGGCGTGACAGGTTCCAGCTTCGGCGTCTTCGTGCCGCCAATGTTAGGTCTGAATTCGGATTTCAATGCCTCGTAAGGCGAAGACATGCCAGCGAACTGAGGCTGCTCCTCATATTCGCTCTCTTCCTCGTCCTCGTGGTGTTTGCCTCTTGTGGTGGAAGGTGGAGCCCGCGGAGTGCTGTGTCCGAGCGAGGGCGAGTCGAAACCGAGAGTCGATTCGGCGTCTTCTTGTGCGGACAAGGGTCGTGGTGGTGTTGTCGTTGTTCCAGTCACGGTATCCTCATCCTCGACCGTCTCGTCATCGTACGTTTGTGACTGTTCAGTCTCGTCTTGTACAGCTGATTCGTCTTGCTCGGGTGCTTCGTAGCCCGAAAGTGAGACATTGGCGCTGGCCTCGAAGAACTGTTTCCAAAACTTGGAGCCTTCCCAAACAGCTTCTGAGTGTTTTCCGTATTGTTCAACGATCGGCAGGATACCGGTTGTTACGATGCGATGCGCGCGGCTGAAGTTTTGGTCGATTTCTGCTTGTGTCAGTCGCGATGGTGGGGTGCTCGACGCTGTGTTTACCTTGTAGTGTCAAAGTGATGGACTGCTCTAGCTTCTC